TATATATATATTAAGATATTAAGGCAATTTAACAGAGAAGAGATAGTCTTTGAGCAAATGATGCTGGTGCGTTGAACCTCCCATGTGAAAAACAAATAAGCAAACAAATCACAGGTTGTATTTTAGAGCACACAAAAATATTAACTAAAACACTGACCACAGGTTAAAACTCGGGGTGTGAAACGATAAAATTCAACTGTGTGTGGCAGCAATCACCTGTAATCCCAGCACTTTATATATATATTAAGATATTAAGGCAATTTAACAGAGAAGAGATAGTCTTTGAGCAAATGATGCTGGTGCGTTGAACCTCCCATGTGAAAAACAAATAAGCAAACAAATCACAGGTTGTATTTTAGAGCACACAAAAATATTAACTAAAACACTGACCACAGGTTAAAACTCGGGGTGTGAAACGATAAAATTCAACTGTGTGTGGCAGCAATCACCTGTAATCCCAGCACTTGGGAGGTGAAGCCAAGAAGGTCCCTAGTTCAAGACCAGTCACTACTACATAGTGAATTTGACACCAGCCTGGGCGACATGAGATCCTGTCTCAAAATGAGACAAAACAAAAAAGAATAAAACTTTTAGTGGAAGACATAGGAGAAAACTTAGGTGACTTTGAAGAAGGAAAAATGTCGTTGAGCACGAACCATTGAGCTGGTGATGGTGGCACATTTGTGACTCCAACACCTTAGGCGCAGAAGCAGGAAGACCTGAAATTCTAGGCCAGCCTCAGCTATGTAGGAAGTTTGAGGCCATCCTAGGCTAAATGAGATGCTGTTGAAAAAAAAACTAAATGAGTGTGAATCATAATAGAAAGTGAATTGACTCACCGGTGTCATATTTTCCTACTCGTTTGAAAGACACTGTTAGAAAGTGAGAAGACAAACTATAGACTAGGAAAAGTATTTGTGAGGGGCTGGAGAGGTGGGTCAGTGGGTAGGTGCACTGGCCGCTCTTGAAGAGGACCTGGGTTTGGTTCCCAGAACTCATGTAGAGGCTAACAACTGTCTGTGACTCCAGTTCCAGGGAATCTGATGCCCTCTTCTGACCTCTGTGGGCATTGCATGACAGGGGTGCACTTACATACATGTAGGCAATACATACACATAAAATTAAAATAATAAAAAATATTTTTAAAGTATTTGTAAATCATATAACTGATAAAAGGCTAGTATCCAAAATACACAGGGAATTCTCATAACAATACTAATGATAATAATAGATAAAAATTGAACTAATTATTCACCAGTGAAGATATGCTTATGGTGAACAATGAGATGTTCAACACCATTAATCCTTATGAAAATACCAACGAAACCCTAATGAGATAGCATCATGAACTACTGTGGTCCAACTCTCTGGGGTCCAACCATGCAACGACTGCAATGAAAAAGAATGAATGGCAGAGAAATGCAGCTTCCTGCATGTTGAGTGCATGGCAAGGAGTCATTTGAAAGGCAACATACCATTTCCACCTCGACCACGTTCTAGAAGAGACAAGAATCTCCAGGAACAGAAGTCAGAGCAGCAATTGCCGGGGCCAGGACTGGAGAGGGTGTGCGGGGACAACAGTCCTCTTTACTGTAGTGTTTGTTAACGGAATGGGGGCTGTGGTGCTTATTAAAGCGGGATGAGTTTCTCCACAGTTGTAGAACTGGATACCAAGAAGGGGTTAGAGTCTGTGTCTATAAATGAATCACCAATAGACTTTTAGAAAAGGACCCCAGGGGCTGGGGATATAGCTCAGCCATAAAGTGTTTGCTGCATAAGCATGAGAACCTGTGTTTGATCCCCCAAAACCATGTAAAAAAGCCAAGTGTAGTGGTACGCACCTGTAATCCCAGCACTGGGCAGGTGGAGACAGGTAGATGGTCCTCTGGAGCTTGCCGGTAGGCCATCTTGGACTAATTGGTGAGTTTCAGGCCAAGTGAGAGAGCCTGCCTCATAAAACAAAGTGGATGGTGCCTGAGGAATGACACCCGAGGTTGACTTCTGGCACACACACACACACACACACACACACACACACACACACACACACGTTTCTAGAAGAGCTCTGTAGAGTGATTCAGGGACACTTTAGATCCAGGCTGTTGGGGAGTACTATCTACTGTTCCCCAGGAGATGCCACCTCCTGGTGCACTCCATGTCACATGACCCATCACCGTGCTCAAACAAGACTATAAGAACAGATACTCCAACTACGCCACAGCCCAAGCCAGACAGCCCACCTTCAGGCTTCCAGCTTCTCTCCCTATATCCCCCAGCACAACTCAGCTTCCACCGTGGGAATGACTTCAAACCTCCCTGACCCCCATCCCCAACTCTCTGGGCCATTTCACACCTAAGCTATGACACATGCAAGACTCTGTGCCTGTATTACCCTTCAGGGGGACTGCTCCACCCAGAACTCCAGGAAATTCCAAGTTATGACTTGTCCCACTGGATGGTCAGGAGTTCAAGGCTGGTCAGTGTGAGCAGTGCACTCAGGAGAGGAGGAAATTTCAGGAGCAGAGAAAGCGCTCTCTCTGTGTTGTTGAGTGAGTACTATCTCTGAGTGAAACAGCCGCAATCTTCATCAGATCATCTGTGCTGGCACTCAAGAGTCCATCATGATTGGACCTGTGGACTGTTGGCCTTCCCTCGTAGAAGGAAGGGGTGGGGAGGGTCATTGGACCCTCCCCTGAGTATCCAGACACACCTCCCAGCCATTTGTAGGCAATTCTGTCCTAATTGCAGGAGACCTTGGGATCTTGGGGGAATGGCTAGCATCTATAGACTGGGGAAAACTAACTGAGGGGGGCTCCATCTATAGGGCCATTATTCATATTGAACACACAGACTTTCCAGTGCAGCTACTTTAGGGTCACTCATGCTGCTGACAGTTACCCCTCACCCACGCTCTGTAAGTAAGCCTAATAAACTCACTGGTTTTCTAGGGTGAACTTTGGTAGAATTGTACTTTAGTTTCCCATTGGGACCTTATTGGGGGGCAGGGGGTCGATGTTGTTTAAGACTCTCTGGGGAAGGAATTCTCCCAACACTCACAGACAGTTAATTTTTCCTTCCCCTGATTACTAGGGTAATAGTGTCACAGTTAACCCTCACTGATCCCTGGAGTGTAAGAATTCACATTAGCCTACCGATACCCTGATATGCCCATCTTACAGATCTGTAAACTGAGTCATAGAGGGCTTATAGCTGTGGGTTACACAACTAGCAAGCAGGAAATCTGGCTCTGGATCCATATCCTTAGTTGCTGTCTCATATTCTAGGGGTGTGACAAGGAGTTTGTGACATCTCAGCCTCCCAAGAAGCAACTTTCCTCCATCCCCTGAGAGGATGGAAACAGTAGAACTAGCAGACAATCTGGCTACTATGTAGGTATGATGATCCCTGGAGGAGGCTCTGCAAGGGGACAGAGCAACCTCAGAGCCATGCAGGGCCACCCTGGCAGGCACTGCAGGAGGGCAGCTGATCTCCAGCCAGCAAGGCAGTGACTGCCTTCCCCTCCTCCCCTTCCCTGAATCACGGACCCCAGTCCTGACTATTGCTCAATCCAGGAGCTCAGTTCCTGTGGGCAGCGCCTGACTTGCTTGGCCCTCTCTTTTCTGTACTTAAAGGGAAAGACCAGATCTTGCATAAGGGACCCTGTGTCTGTCCTTGCTGGCTGGCTGAGGAAGGGTGCCATGGGACCGCTCCAGATGCTTCTCCTGCTGTGGGTCGCAGGTAGGACACCCCACACACGCACCATGCTATCTTTCCCTCACCTTCCTTGAGCAGATGTGTGGGTGGGAGTGCAGGTGGCACGGAGGGGAACTATGAAGGAGGCTGGAGTCCTGGCGAGATTTAGTGTCCTGCTTGGCACTGCCATCCTCCCCATCCATCAATGTTCTTCAGACCACCATCCTGAGGATCACCCCCCTGACACACGGGGAGGGCGAAAGTCATGCTGTGGGAAGGAGTTTGAGGGTGGCATCTCTGTCAGGTGGGGACCTGTGGATACTACTGTCTTTAAAGTTATGAAACACTTCAGTATAAGTGATATGACAGGATGAGAGAGCAGGAGGATGGAAAGACCTTAGGACTGGGATCTGCCTCCTTCAGGAGCCTCTCCCATATCCACCTTCAGCCCTTAGTGAGAAATGATATTGTTGAAAGTTCTGCCACTGCTGGTGGGTAATGACACCCTAAATCCTCACACACAATAGACTGCCTCTCCCCCGAGGGGGCTGATGCCTCTTATTTCCTTAAAATAATGGGCAAACCCAGGAGACAGGAGAGGCCATCTAAGCCATGTCTCTGTAGCTCTCAGCAAGAGATGGAGGGAGAGACAAGGGATGGAAGGGCTGGTGTGTGGAGAGAGGGCACACGGGGGTTCTCTCTAGTTCCAAAAGGCAGACTACCATCTCCTCGACTCCACAGGTTTCAGGTTTGTGGAACAGTAGTAGCTGGAGACAGAACTGGGGAAGACAGAAGGTTTGTAGCCCTTGCCCTAACCACAGCCTGGCTGCTGTTCCAATTCTATCTACTCTACCCCAAGAAGATTCCCAAAATAGCAGCCTCATGTCTCCCCCAAAATAGCTGTGAGACAAGTCCTTCCTGAAAGGGGAACAAAGCCACAGAATAGGGAAGCTGGGAGTTGAAGGTCAGGAAAGGAGAGCAGACCAGTATGGATGGCTACAGCATGTGCTGCAAAGCAGGGCCAGGGAGGGGGCGTGCCCAGGCCCCAGGGGGCTACTAACCTTGCTCTCTTAAGATAAAGACGGGAGAGGTGAGGTCCTGGTCCCATATGACTGGAGGGAAGATGTGCAAAATGGAATCAGAAGAGCTTTAAGAACAAGCTGTGGCTCAGTCAGTAGAGTACTTGCCTTGCAAGCATGAGGACCTGAGTTCAGATCCCCAGAATCCATCCAAAAAGCTGGGTTCAGAGGTGTGTGCTGTAATCCCAGTGATGGTGAAGATGCGAGGCAGAGACTGGTAGATCCCTGGAAGTGTCCGGGCCAGTTTACCTGGTCTACATGGCGAAGTATGCTGTAGTTGTTGCTCTATTGCTGAGACAAACTGTCTGACAAAAGCAACTTGAAGGAAAGGTTTAGCCAGGCGTGATGGCACACGCCTTTAGTCCCAGCACTCAGGAGGCAGAGGCAGGCAGATCTCTGTGAGTTCAAGGCCAGCCTGGTCTACATAGTGAGTTCCAGGACAACTGGGGCTACAGGGAGACCCTGTCTCAAAAAAAGACCAAATAGGGGCCGGAGAGATGGCTCAGTGGTTAAGAACACTGGTTGTTCTTGCAGAAGACCTGGGTTCAAATCTCAGCACCCACACAGCAGCTAACAACTGTCTGTAACTTCAGTTCCAGGTGATCCGACAGCCTCTTCTGTCCTACGTGGGCATTGCACGACACGGGTGCACTCACCTGCATGCAGGCAATATATACATACCTAAAATAATAAAATTATTTTTTTCTTTTTTTAAAAGAGGTCAAAAAGACCCAAAAAAAGCCAAATAAATAAATAAATAAATAAATAAATAGAAAGGTTTATTTTGGCTTAGAGTGCCAGGGGTTATAGTCCATCATGGAGGGGAAGTATAAAGGCAGGAGTAGGAGGTGGCTGATCACATGCACCTACAGTCAGGAAGCAGAGAGAGATGAGTGCTGGTACTCAGTTCTCTTCATCCTTTTTATGCAGTTGGGGATCCTGGTCCACAGACTTGACAACCATGTTCAGAGTAGGTCTTTCCACCTCAGTTAACCTAATCTAGATAATCCTCACAGGTGTGCTCAGAAGTTTGTCTCCTAGGTGAGTCCAGATCCTGTCAAGTTGATGGTCCATATTAACCATCATATACACCAGGGAAAGTCTGTCTCAAACAGAAGGTGGAAGGTGCCTGAGGATCAACACTGGAGGCTGTCCTCTGACTGCCACATGCACGCTGTGCATGTACATATCCACCTACCCGCATATTTGAACTTTCCCCCACAAAAAAAGAGGACTAGTATCTCTGGAAATAGGACCAGAGAAGGTCAGCTAATTCTCCAGGAAGCACAGGAAGAAAACCAGATTCCTAGTCCCCAGTTATGCCACTTTTTCCTGAGAGACCAACTTTTCTTTTTTAAAAAAATATTTTATTTATTATTTATATTTTGTGTGTATGAGTGTATTGTCTACATGTAGGTATGTGCACCCATGTCGTGCAATGCCTGCAGAAGACAGAAGAGGCCGTTGGAGCCCCTGGAACTGGAGTTGTGGACAGTTGTTAGCTGCCATGTGGGTTGAACCCGTCTTCTGCAAGAACAACCAGTGTTCTTAACTGCTAAGCCATCTCTCCAGTCCCAAGACCAACTTTTAAAATATTTTATTTATTATCTTTATGTGTATGCATGTATTGCCTGCATGTATGTAAGAGCACTGTGTCGTGCAAGGCCCGAGGAGGTCAGAAGAGGGTGTTGGATCCCTTGGAACTGCAGTTATGGACTGTTATTAGCCACCATGTGGGTACTGAGAATTGGACCTGGGTCCTCTGCAAGAGCAGCCAGTGCTCTTAACTGCTGAACCCAAGACCCTGAGATCTTTAAGGCCAGGACCCTTGTCTGTTTGGTTTGCTGCTCATGGTGGATGTTCAGTAAACACTTGGTGAATGGATGAATGAATGAATGGATGCATGCATGCATGCATGGCTGTCTCCTCTGCAGAGCTGTCCCAAGCCCACAACACCACAGTGCTGCAGGGTGTGGTTGGCCAGTCCCTGCAGGTCTCCTGCTCCTATGACTCCGTGAAACACTGGGGGCGGCGCAAGGCCTGGTGCCGCCAGCTGGGTGCAGAAGGCCCGTGCCAGCGTGTGGTGAGCACACACAACTTGTGGCTGCTGGCCTTTCTGAAGAAGCGGAATGGGAGCACAGTCATCGCTGACGACGCCCTGGCTGGAACTCTCAGGGTCACACTGCGGAACCTCCAAGCTGGTGATGCGGGCCTCTATCAGTGCCAGAGCCTCCGAGGTCGGGAGGCTGACACCCTCCAGAAGGTCCTGGTGGAGGTGCTGGCAGGTGAGTGGGTGGCTGGTCGTCCCTTTGTCCTGCCCTCTGGTCAGGCCTCACTTCTGTGTGAACTTTCCTGGGGAGACGTGAACTAAAGTCACGTTTGCCCCAGACTGGCCACCAATGACAGGTCAAAGAAATTATTCCACCCAGGTCTAGTTCCCTAGATTCACCCAGCTTAGTGAATTTGGGGGCTACACTGTAGGAACACAGGTGAGGGGTTATTTACAGGCAACTCAAAGGCAGCTGCATCACTGAAAGCCCACCCCCACCCCCACCCCCACCCCTGGGCCCCAGCACTGGTGATGACTCATAAAAACTGCATCTCCATGTCCTGGCAGGTATGGTGGCACACACCTTTAATCCCAGCACTCAGGAGGCAGAGGCAGGCGGATCTCTGTGAGTTCAAGGCCAGCCTTGTCTACATAGTGAGTTCCAGGCCAGCTGGGGCTACAGGGAGACCTGGTCCAAAAAAAAAACAAAAACAAAAAAACACAAAAAACACTGCATCTCCATAGCTGCCTGCATCCCCAGATTTCCCTGCATCCCTGGAGCTCTCTCTATCCCTGGAGTTCTCTGCTCCTTGGAGCTCTCTCCATTGGAGTTCCCTGCATCCCCAGAACTGTCTGCATCTCTGAACTGCCTGCAGACTTACAGGCAGCTGGTTCTGGTTGGAGGGTCTCTGCTCCTCAGCAGTTGTAATGGCTTGTATATCCTTGGGGTAGAGGGGAACTTGTGAATCTTGGTACATTTCAGGAGCTTCCTGAGACTTAGTTTTTCTTTACTTCTTTGCCTTATGAGCCTCCCTCCTCTCTCCAAGAGGAAACGGTTCAATTCAGAGGAAATAGCTCCACAACATTCACATTCTGGGCATCTGTGTGCAAGGTCATCCCCCTCAGCTCTTAGAGACCCTAGAGAAGCACATGACATGGGTCCCATGGATAACTGTCCAGGATACTCATTGTACAAGGGAACTAAATCTGTTCTAGACTCCTGCTGCCAAGCGATGTTCCCCAACTACAGGACTGCATCGTCTGTGGGAAAGGTATCTTTCTTTAGTGTACATTAGAGACTGAGTTAACTCCAAACCTGCTTCTTCAAACCATTTTATCTACTTGACATCCCATTAGCATGTGAGCACTGTAAGTGGTCCTTAAGGAGTGGCATTCACTAGCCCAGCCAGCAGAAAAACAACACTTCTTGAAAAAACTCAATGTGCTTGCCTTCTCTCATCTTTCAAAGGAGGTCATGGGGATGGGGTCATGGGGATGCCCAGTGGTAAAGCATTTGCCTAGTATATACAGGCCCCCAGGATCCATCCAAAGAACCCTCCCCAAAATAGGGTTGAAGAACAATTATGGTATCTGTCCATGTGACCTAAAGCTCCCATGAGTGCTTGGGAGAGGGAGGGAAGTCACACCCACACAGACCTGTTGCTCCAAACTGACTGGAGGTCCTCCTAACCTTAGGAGTGAGTCCAGCCTTCTGCCTAAGAACCAACATCTTAGAGAACAGCTTCCAGGTTCTGGGTCTCCACACTTATCATGGAATTGGGGGGGGGTCTAGACAATATCTATCTGAGATGAGGAGGCTGCAGTTCTACACACAAACCCCACTTCCTCCATTCTCTTAAGGAGGGGTTGGAGAGACATGAACTTTCACTCCTTTCAGGGACTAGCAGAGTAGCAATAACTCATTCTGTGTTGAAAGTGTTAGATCATGGGGCATGTCCCTTTAAGAGGCTGGTCAGGCTCTGAGACCACATAGTCACACCCTCACCTACAGCTCACTCTCTTGGTCTCTCTGTCTCTCTGTCTCTTTCTGTCTCTCTTTCTTTCTGTCTCTGTCTCTCTCTCTCATGGGGTATTGAAAAGCCCTATTGTGCTATGGGTTTTTATAGCTCTTAACTCACAGTCCTATCCAATTCCTGGCTCCTCAGTTGTCCCAGTATATAGGAACTTGTGCCACCCCCAGAAAGGTTATGAAAGTTAGATATTTTCATTTGTTTGGGGGATTTCTCTGAAGGCGCTTCTCTGTTCCCCTTCCCCAACACTGCCCCATCTTGTCCATGATGGCTCTCTCCCACTCTTTCTTCAAGCGCTCCCTTTTAATGAATCCCTTTTACTGGATTTTAAAGGAAAATCTCTCTGTTCTGTTTTCAATCAACAATTAATTTTTAAAATTTATTTATTTTATGTGTATGAGTGCTTTGCCTGCATGTATGTAAGTGTACCCATGTCAGGCAATGCCCATGGAGGCTAGAAGAGGGCGTCGGATTCCCTGGAGTTGCAGTTACTGACTACTGTTAGCCGCCATGTGGTGCTGGGACCTGAAATCTGGTCTTCTGCAAGAGCAGCCAATACACTTAACCGCCAAGCCACCTCTCCAGCCCCCTGTTTTAAACATGTTACTCCCTTTCTAGTGTTCTCCCTTTCTCCTGACAAACCCCATTCCTGAGGGTAATTACTTGCCAGCTCCTTTCACAAATCAGCCTACTCTGCTTCTCTGTCCTTTATTTAAAGACTGCTGCACAGTTTTGGTACAGGATTTTGGTATTTGTTGTTTGTTTTGAGACAGGGTCTCACTATATAGCTCAGGCTGACCCAGAACTCTGCACCTTCTTGTTTCACTACCTGAGTACTGAGGTCTGGGCCTGTCAGCATGTCTGGGTGGCAGAGGATTTTCAGCCTTTTGTTATTCATTTGTTCCTCATGGGCCTGGCTGACAAGGGTGGGAGTTGGTGAACCTGAGCTCCAGTAGAGTTCCAGGTACTAGGGGAAGGCGCTCCCCCTGAACCTTGCTACCTTGCTATTAAGGGGATGTTACTAATAGCCCCTCTCTCTCTCTCTTTTTTTTTTTTTTATTTAGCTAGGCTCTCATATAGCCCAGGTTGGCCTCAAGTTCACTATGAAATTCTGGATGACCCTGAACTTCTGACCCTCTTGCCTCTACCTTCCAAATGCTGGAATTATAAGTGTGCATTACCGTGTGTAGTTTATATGGTGCTGGGGATTAGAACCAAAGAGCTTCATGAATGTTAGACGAGCCCTCTACCAACTGAACTACATGTTCAGCCCCTAATTTTCCCTCTTTATAGATAAGGAAATTGAGGCTCACAGAGGCTAATGACCAGATCCATGCAAGACTGAAACCCTGAGGGCCTTGCTGCACCCACAGGGTCTTTTCCCTCCACCACAAAGCAGTAGTCTAAAGGGACAGAGGGCTGACTGCAACTTCATGGCTCTGTCTCCTAAAGACCCCCTGGATGATCAGGATGTTGGAGACCTCTGGATCCCTGAGGAATCGGAGAACTTTGAGGATGTCTATGTGGAACACAGCATCTCTAGGTACAGTGATGGGTCTCTCCTCAGATCCCTGGAAATCATCTGCATGGAATCAGGGTGGGGGTTCTCAGGGCAAACAGGATAGGAAAGAGTCTGGATACAGTCTCATCTAAGCACATCCCCACCAGTTAGCATGTATCCATGCAAATGGGACAGCTGTCAAGAGATTCAAATCCAAGGAGGGATGTAGTTGTACACACCTTAAATCCTAGTACTTGGGAGGCAGAGGCAGGTAGATTTCTGTGAGATTAAGGCCAGCCTGGTCTACGTAGTGAGTTATAGGCCAGCTGGGGCTACAGGAGACCATGTCTCAAAAACAAAAACAAACAAACGAATAAACAAAATCCAGGCATTCAAGTCCCTCCATCATAATTGAAAAAAGTGCTGTTCCAGGCTAGAGAGATTGCTCAGCTGTTAAGAGCACTGGCTGCTCCTACAGAGGACCCAGGTTCAATTCCCAGCACCCTCATGATGGCTAACAATCATCCATAATGCCAATTCCAGGGAAATTCAACATCCTCTTGTGACCTCCACGGGCATTGCATGACATGGGCACACTTACATGCAGGCAATACACTCATACATATAAAAAATATTTTTTAAAAAGAAAAAAAGTGCTGCTGTAAGACACTGATAGGAAGCCCCTACCAACCATAATTCATCACATCTCAATAATTTAGCTCAAAACTAGGATTCCCAGATCCCTGCTCGTCTAGTAGAACCAGAATTCATTCTGGCCAGTCCTTTTCTGTATTGAAACATCGTCCATACAACCCCTGAGTATGTGTGCAAGCACGTGTGTGTCCCACACCGACTACAGCACCCTACTGTAGACAGCAGGGAACTGCTCCAGCTGGGGAACAGGACGTACTTCCTCCCACTTAGAAATTGGGTGGCAGATCCTAGAACTCACTGCAGTCTCCCCTGGGCTCTATGAAGCCCCTTCTCAGAGATGATGTCACCCAAGCCCCTAGAAGTTCCCAGCTTCTCATTATTCCTTCTCTGGGGGCAGATTGCAGACTGTAGGTCTCTTTAAAGCTACCATCTGCCCCCTCTCTCCAAGGAGCCACTCAGGAGAGATCCCCTTTCCACACACTTCCATTCTCCTCCTCCTGGCCTGTGTCGTCCTTACCAAGCTTCTTGTAGCCTGTGTCCTCTGGGCTGTGGCCAGGCGTGGGCAGAAGCCGGGGAAACCTGCAGCCAGTGCATTGGACTGTGACCATGATCCTGGGCACCAGCTTCAGACCCTGACGGGTGAGTGGGGCAAGTGGGGTGATGCCAGATGTGGACAAGGGAGGGATGGGAAGGACTTAGTTCTGTCTATTACAGGACCCCGAGACACATGAGGACTCCAGGTGGGAGAAGGAACCTAGGCAAAGTCCACCCCTGCCTGCATGCTCTTCCCTTCGTTACCAAGGCTTCTGGGTCTGCGCCTAGTGAGAAGCCACTCTGCCTGCAGTCTGCCTTTCCTGGAAACAGAAAGGGGCAAAAGTAGCCAGAAGGCCATTTATCATCTTCTGGGCTTTGGACATTAAACATTCTCACAAACTAAGCTAAGACTACCTAGTCTTTCTAAGTGGTTCTGAGCTTCCTAAAGGTCTTCCCTTCTGCAGTGCGGGGGTTAATACCCCCGTCTTGGGCGTGCTAGGCACATGATTTTCACTGAGTTACATTCTAAGCTAAGAGTATGCATCTGAATGAGGAAAAGGCAAAAGATTTCCCTGCTTGGAGCTTGGGGTCCAGCGGTACTATTCTAACTTCATTTCTGTTGCTGTGATAAAATACCCTGACAAAATACAAGAGAAAAAGGGTTTATTTTAGTTCACAATTCCAGGAAGGAACTCAAAGCAGCAGGAACTTTAAACAGCTTGTCATATCACATCCACAGCCAAGAGCAGAGAATGCATGCATGTATGCCTTCTTATGCTCTGTCCCCCTTTCTACACTTACATAGGGCAGGAGCCCCTGCCTAGGGGATGGTGCTGCCCACAGTGGGCTGGGTCTTCCCACATCAATTAAAATGTTATCAAGTCAATCTCCATAGGCCAACCTGATCTAGACAATCCCTCATTGAGGCTCTCTTCCCAGGTAAGTCTAGGTTATATCAAGTTGACAATTAAAACTAACCATTACAGGAACCGTGTCCATCTCAGAGGCTCCAGTCCAGCCAATCTCTTCATCCTCTCTTCTGTTCCTTAAATCCAATCATCAGTAATGATCATCAAAAAATCCAAGCTGGAATATCTGGCTGTCTCGTCACCCTTCCCACTGTGCCAGTCTCTCCGTCGGCTCCCAAGGGCTATACTTGGCCACCTCCCAGCCCCAGGCCCCTTCTTACCGACCCCCCACCCTTGCCTCTGCCACCCATGGTAATCCAACCCACTGACTCATCCTTTTCTCTACTCAGAACTGTGCTTCTATCTGTGACTTCCCCTCCAGAGAAATGGCAAAGACTGAGTCATAGTATCACAGCTGGGGACAGATAGTCCACACCCCTTGATGTACTGAGAGGAAATGGAGACTCCTAGAGGGAGGGGACTTACCCATGATCCCCAGTAGAGCTCAGAAATCAAGGTTCCCTCACCATTCTCTGAACCCTTCTCTCTAGTTCCATCCTGCTAGCGCATTCCCATGTATGCACATTCAACGCTTTGCTTTGAGCATCTGGTCTGCATCAGGTACAAGTCCGTGCCGTAGAGATACTGTGCAGACTGTGCTATGGGAAGTTCTTGTTCTAGTTGGAGGAGCGGTAAGGGATAGACAGTAAACACAATAAGGCAAGGCAAGTCTGAGGGCAGGAAGTGTGGAGGAAAATTCAAAGTAAAGCAGGTACAGAGGGGATGGGATGGTGCCGTTTTGAGCAGGACAGTCAGAAGGGGCTGAGTGGATGCATATGGAGAACCTGAGTGATTGAACTTGAGGCATGGTGAGGGGAGAGAATTCCAGTCAGGACAGCTCTGGAACCTTGCCTGTCTCATTTCTGTTGCTGTGATAAAATACCCTGACTAAAAGCAACTTAGGGGAAGAAAAGGTTTATTTGGTTTATAAATCCAAGTTACAGTCCATCATTTTGGGGATGTCAAGGCAGGGACTCAAGCAGCTAGTTGCACCATATCCACAGCCAAGAGCAGAGAGAAATAAACATATACAGGCTGCCTGCTTACTTGTGTGTCTGCTCAGCAGGCTTTCTTTACTCTTCTACAGTTCAGGGCCCAGACTAGGGATTGGTGCCATCTACAGTGGACAGGGCCAATGAACAGTCATGACAATCCCCCACAGGTGTGACAACAGGCCAACCTGATCTAAATCATTCCTCACTGAGACTCTCTTCCCAGCCAATTCCAGGTTGTGTCATGTCCACAGTAAAAACCGACCAGCACAAATACATACATACTGCCCTGGGCAGAGTAGTGGAGAGTAGAGAACAGCCTCCCTGAAGGTGAACCACCGGAGTGAAGCAGAAACAAGTCAGCCACAGACCCAGGCTTTCTACTAGGCCTCAGTGGTAGATGTCCAGGAGCCCTTCTGGGTACAGTGACACATGCACACCTCACCATCTACCATGGGCTTGGGATCATGGAAAAGAGTTCACAAGGGCTCTCCAGGTTCCTGCCCTATCTTGCTCACTCCCACTTAGGACACTCCACTGACCCTGGCCTGGAGCTCTGAGATTCTGTGTCCATCTGCTTCTTTGGTTTCTCTGACAGCACATTAAACATCCTCATTGTGTCCAGAGACAGTTGCCTCATTCCCACAGATCCAGCCCCAAATCTAGAACAGTCCTCTCCGGCTGCCTTCACCCTGAACACCAAGGCTGTGAGGTGGGCCTGGGAGGCCCTCTGGGACATGTCTGGCATGGGCTCATGGTGACTGCTCTGGGACCATTCTCGAAGGGCTCCTCCTCTTGGAGCTTACTCTTCACTCTTTCTTGCCTTGCCATGTCCTAGATGCAAGAATCATCATGGGGAAACCCTGTCTTAGACTCCAGGATGGCACTGACTGAAAGTAGATAGATCCATGGGCTTCGGGTTTATCTCTGCCTCTTGGCATCTTGTCCTTAGCAAGTTCATCAACCTGCTGATAACAAATCAGTCAGTCACCTTTGTCTCATCCTTCTCTATTTCATTGGGGTTTTGAATTATTTTTGTTTTAAAAAATATTTTATTATTTTTAATGTTTATGTGTATGAGTGTACTGCCTGCATGTATGTAAGTGCCCTCGTGTCATACAATGCCCATGGAGGTCAGAAGAGGGTGTCAGATCACCTGGAGTTATGGATGGTTGTTGCTGTCATGTAGATGCTGGGAACTGAACCTGGGACCTCTGCAAGAGTAGCTAGTGGTCTTAACCACTGAACCATCTCTCTAGCCCCACGCCACCACGCCTAGCTTCCTGCAACATTTAAAATTTACATATTTATCTATTTTGTGTGGGGGAGCATGCAAATACCATGGTCCACACGTGGAGATCAGAGGACAACTTGTTCTCTCCCTCCACCATGTGGATCCTGGGGATCAAATTGAGGTCAGCAAGTGCCTTTACAAACAGGTATTTTGCTGGTCCCCACTGTGCTTATTTGTGGGTGTCCCTGGCCAGGTGTCTGATAAATCATAGGTCCTCAGCAAAGACCGGCTTCCCCACTGTAAAGCCCAGCAACATCACATCTCCCAAGAGGCCAGGGTCCTGTTTAGCCTCTCTGGTGCAGTGGTAGACCATACTTATCAGAGGAGCTCAGTTCATTGTTGGGTACAATTCCACATTAACATAAGATCCCCAGTAACTTACTTATATGGAAATAACTTCCTTATGAGAAAATCAAAGTCTGGTATGCATTAGCAAGACAGGTGAAAGTATTGGTTTGCTGAGGGCTTCTCAGTTTTCACGCCAAAAGTCTCATGTTTGGGGAAGCCCGCTGTCCTCAGCACACAGGGGCAGAGTCAGTTTATCTCTCCTTCCACTAGACTCAGCTTAATGAACCAGCTGGTTTCGGGTGCTTTCTGTTATCAGCAGTCTATGCTAGAAGGAAAGGAAGCTGAGAGACAGGGAGAAAGGGAGAAAGGGAAGGCATGTTAGCAAGTTGTTAAGGTAAGAGCCTGGGTCCTGAAAAGCTAGGCTCAGCCACTCATCCCCATTAAGCCAATTACAGAGACAAATAATGGTGACAGGCAGAGAAAAATGGATTCAATGTCGTTGCATTGGGAAGAGGAACTCAGAGGTTCAGTGACCTCCCAAGTCCATCTTCAGGGTCTCCCCCTTCCCCCATTGTGTGTGTATGTATTGCATGCTTTTGCATGTGTGCACATGTATGTATGCACATGCATATGGAGGCCTGAGGTTGATACTGGGACTCTTCCTCAGTCCCTGTTCTATCTTATTCATTGAAGCAAGAACTCTCAGTCAAACCCAACTCTCACCAATGTCACCAGCCTTGCTAGTTAACTTGCTCTGGGGATCCCCAGTCTCTGCCTTCTGGAGCTGGAATTACATGTCAGCTGCCTTGCCCACCCTGCAGTGAGATAAAGTAGAGTTCTGGAACTCTAAACTCAGGTTCCCACACTTGAGCAGCAAGGGCTTTAACCCCTGAGCCATCTCCCCAGTCCCCATCTTTGAGGTCTTAACATGAAGGTTCTATTTAAATAGAGGGTGAGAGTTATACATAACTCAGGCAGACCCTGCCAAGTCCTGGTCATTAACATTGTTTGGGCTCCAGTCTCACGGAATGTAGTCTGTCAAGTTGTTATAACTGTGTAAAAATCTCTTCCTGGGAGACAAGTTCCCCCTCTTAGAGCTGACACCAGGCCTTGTCTTTTCCTTCTTCCAGCATGAGACTCCTGGGGGAACTTCCAGTTCTTTGGGGGATCCATTGTTTCAGTAGTCTGATAGTCTGTGGGACTCAAATGTCTCCACAGCATCTTCATTCCTACCAGAACAGCTTTAGGCAGGGGAGAGGAGGGACCGAGCAGTCCTTCCTGCCCCTATTAGTTACCTTTTGTTGCTGTGATAATGCATCATAACCGAAAGTGACTTATGGAGGAAAGAATCTATTTTGGGTTACGGTTCCAGAGAGTCCACAACGGCAGGGAAGGCATGATGGCAGGTTGGCCGGAACAGGAAGCTGAGAGATCACATTTCCATCCACAGGAAGGAAGCAGAGAGAGCAAATTGGAAGTAAGGGGAGGCTATTAAACTCTCAAAGCCTGTCCCCAGTGACATACTTCCTCCAGTAAGTACGCTCTACATACTAAAGGTTCCATCACCTTCCAAAACAGCACCACCAACTGGGACCAAGTATTACAATAGGTGAGCCTATTGCGGACATTTCTCCACCGCACTGCCCTTCTCTAGAGCTCATCCTCCACAGCAGGGCAACGACTCCATCCCCACACAGCTCTCCTCCCTAGACAACATGGAGACCAGGTGCTTCCTCTGAGCTTGAATCATAACAGAAGAACCCCACAATTAGATTTGCAGTTCATAAAAACATGTGAGTTCTGGAGTTTGAATGTCAAGTGCCCTCCTTCCCCAGGCTCATGTACATGAGTTCCTAGCTGGCGATGCTGCTTGGGGGGAGGTTATGGAGTCTTTAAGTGTCACATCAGGTGGACCCTGCTCCCAGTCTGTCTCTGCTTCCTGTGTGTCTCCATGATGTGACCAGCCACCTGCCCTGCTGACATGCCCTACCACAATGGACTGACATCCCCTGGAGCTGTGAGTCAGAAAAAAATCCTTCCTTCCCTTAAGTTGCCTCTGTCGGATACATTGTCACAACAAGGAAAGTGATATATTGGCATAAAGACCATTCTTCCTCTTTGGAAAGAGACAGAGACAGGAAGAGAAACAGATACCTTTATTCTCGAGTATAAATAAATCTTTTTCAGGGAGGAAAGTGAAGGATGCTAGTCTCTCTCTGGGTATTACATAGTCTCTATGTAACTGTGCTGTTCAGTCACACTGAGCACAGCTGGGTAAGTGGCGCATACATACTGTCAGAATCAGACAGACGGAAAAATATTGATGGGTCACTTGTCTGCCAGCCCTGAAGACAGCAATCATAGTGGTATTTTGTAAGTAAGGAATGCTTGGCAAATAAGAAAATGAGTTTGAGAATCACAAATATCAAAATTAAAAAAGAGCTGGAGTTGTGGCTCAGTTGGGTCTACACAAAAACACAACTCTCACCTCAAAAGAGATTCAACACAGTTTGTTCTAGAGCCAAATATCATGGCCCAGGAACACAGCCTTAGGGAGGCCAAATTCCATGTTCCAACGTGAAAGCAGTTTCATAAAGTTTTTATAGTAACAGAAGCAAAAAAGTCCTAAATCAAGGCACTTTTCAAATACATTGGTGGAGACATTAAGTAGGTGGGTTACAGCAAATTGGAGAAATCTCAGCTATAGGCCTCAGGTGCTATCTGATGACGCTCAGCTTTTTCGTTGGTGGAAACTGGGGTTTGTTAATACATCTCAAAAGGTTTTTAATCTGTTAGTCACAGGATGTTAAATCAGACACAGAGGTGGGCAAGGAATGGCTATTTAGGGGGCTAAAGATAGTCCAAGATAAATTCCAACATTCCAACCTCTCCACAATCATCAAAGCTCTAATCCATTAATCAGCCTTGCAGGAGGTTCTATTTGAAGACACAGCTTCTTTCTGGGAACTTCTGTTCACAGTTGGTAGAGTGCTTACTTAGCAAGCATGAAGCCCTGGGTTCTATCCCCAGCACTACATACAACCAGGTATGGTGGCACATGTCTGGATCCCAGCACTTGGGAGGTAGAGGCAGGGGTAACAGAAATTCAAAATCATTCTTGTCTACATATTGAGTCTGAGGCCAGCCTGGGCTATATGATACCCTGTCTTGCCAAGCAACCCAAGAACGAAGATGTCAATGAAGTGGATGGGAGATGAAGATACCCTAGAGGGCAGAATAGAACAAAAAGATCAACAGCTAGAGAGAAACATCTTGAAAAGGAGACGAATACAAAGAGAGAGAAGAATTCACACCAACTCATGGGCAAGTTGCAGACAACAGAAAAGCGACTATCGAGGAAACACCTGTTGCCCAGAACTGAGGATCCAGAAAGAAAGGGTCTAAAGACACAAGGAAGGACCAGTCCAGTGGGGCTTCCAGGTAAGAGGCTGAAGTGTGGGCGTGAAGGTCTTCTGGGACCTGGGGTGGCATGTACATAGGGAAGTGGGTTTGGGGTGCTCATAAAGACTTGAAAATCAGATGGCCTTTGACCACATGGAGGGGACCTTACTTTTCTGCTTCATAGATCTATTTTGGGAGACCTGAAGATTAGCCTTTCTTTCTTTCACCCTCCTATAACTGGGGCCTTTGACCTCTTCCTCCTCTGCTTCAACCCACCCCACCTTGTCCTCCCCTCTCTAAGGGCCAGCTGTCTGAACCCCTGAGTCAACCAAACTTTGGAAGAGTTCCCTTCCCCCAACTCTGAATATTCCCACCAGTCCAGCCCTGTTGGGTCCCTGTGGTCACTAGAGAGCTCACGTGACTGTGTGTGACAGATGTTTCCTGCTCCCAGGGGCCTGCAGTGTCAGGAACCAGTCTACCCTCAGAACTGACATCTCCCGGCGGACCATGGATCCCTGCCTGCTCCTGCTGCTGTTCCTGGTACTAACTGGTAAGGATGGACCTTCTTTCTTATCCCCAAATCACCTGTGTTACCATGGACATCATACTTGCCCCTGTGCACTTCCATGACCCCATGCCAAAGGGTGTGCTAGGAAGTGGCTCTGTTCCTGTCCAGGGCTCACTACCACCTCTCTTTCTTCCTCAGGTCAGGGCTCAGCTGACAACCATCCCGAGGTGCTGCAGGCCCCCGTAGGGTCTTCCATTCTGGTGCAGTGCCACTACCGGCTTCAGGATGTGAGGGCTCACAAGGTGTGGTGCAGGTTCCTCCAGGAGGGCTGTCAGCCGCTGGTCACCTCAGCTGTGGACCGCAGAGCCCCAGGGAACAGGCGCACATTCCTCACTGACCTGGGTGGGGGCCTCCTGCAGGTGGAAATGGTAGCTCTGCAGGAGGAGGACACAGGGGAGTATGGCTGTGTCGTGGAGGGAACTGCAGGGCCCCAGACTGTGCACACCGTCTCTCTGCAGGTGCTCCCCCCAGGTGAGTTGTCCCGGGCCACCACCCCTCTATGTCCAAAGGGGTGACCCGTGGCTTGTGCTCTTGAGGCCTTGGGGGGTAAGGGCCTCTTGGAAGGCATTGAGGAGGGCTATCTTCTTGATACCTCTGCTGGGAGCGAGTGGAAACGGAAGTGGTTGGGAATATAGATAAATAGCTAAGGAGCAGTTCCTGTCCTCTCCCCTCCACCACCGTGGCTTCCCAGTCAGGCCATCACCATGGCCTTTGGAGTCTCAACTTCATATTATCTTTGTTTAACTTTATGTTGATTTTCAAGTGTGTTAACTGAAATTAACACACTTGAAAACTTTCTTTTTTTTAAACCGGGTCTCCCGGTAGCCCCAGCTGGCCTGGAACTTGCTATGTAGACCAGGCTGGTCTTGATTTCACAGAGAGCCTCCTGCCTCTGCCTCATGGGTGCTGGGATTAAAGGCGTGTGCCACCATGTCTGACTTTGAAAATGTTCATGCCTTCCACTTTGTGTGTGTGTATGTGTCTGGTATATGCATGTGCAGTGAATATGTATATGTGGCGTATATGCATGTGTGTGTGTTGGGGGTGTGCCTGTGCTTATGCATCCCCTCTGAGGAGAATAATGGTAGGTGTCCTGCTCTACCCTATTACCTTGGATAGGGTCTCTCACTGAACCTGAACTTCCCCATTTCAGGCTTGACTAACTACTTTTACCCCGCAGTGCTGGGGTTACATACCCAACTTTTTTTTTTTTTTTTTACATGGGTATTAGGGATTTTTAACTCAGGACCTCATGCTTATACAGCACGTGCCCTTACTGAGGCATCTCCCCAGCCCTGTCTTCCTTTGATGATTAAGCTTATAATTATCTTAACTGATTTTTATAAATCTTTATTGAGCATTTAGTAAGGGCCTGATGCGGGCAGGGTACGTCAGTTCCTAGACCCATTGAGGGTGTATTTTGTTTGGTTGGTTTTTTTAGGCAGATCTCACTGTTAGCTCAGGCTGGTCTGGAACCAACTGTTTAGCCCAGGCTGTCCTCAAACTCATGATCCTCCTGCTTCAGTCTCCTGAATGCTGATTACAGATATGTACCACCATGCCTAATTTCATTCAGTTTTTAAAAATGGCCAAAAATATCATTAGTATTAAACCCAAACTCCCAATCTAGTCTCAATCTAGAAAACATTTTGCTTTCTTTGGTTTCATTTTTCACAACTTACATCTTTCCAGGACCGAGGCGTTTACTAAAGTAGAAATGTAATTTTTTTCTAGCAGAGGATGCTATGAAAACCAGAACATGGAGAGAAAAAAATGTCAGATTGCTAACTGCTGTTTTCTTCTGGACACAGGTGTTTGCCATCTTTTGGTCTCCTCGCTCACAAATAACTTGTGTCTAATCCCCCGATGATAAAATTAAGAAAGTCATCCTTCCTGACTTTGGTTTTCCCTGCTAATTAAGAGAGTGGATCCATTGTGGAGCCCCTCACCTTCAGTCTATGACTATTACTTAATTTTTACAGTTATTTATCTTGTGTGGGGGGCAGGTGCCACAGGGTGCCAGTGGAGGTCAGAAGACAACTTGTGGGAGTCGGTTCTCTCCTTCCACTGTGTGGGCTCTGGGGAATTGAACTCAGGTTGTCAGGCTTGGTGGCAAGCACCTTTACTTGCTGAGTCATCTCGCCAGCCCCATGACTATTAATTTATACAGTAAGTTGACTCTGGCTAATTTTAATTATTTCTAGGATTCCTTATCCTTGACATGCTGAAGTCTAGTGACTCTAGGTTTTATAGTTTCACTTTCTACTTTTTTTCTCTCTCGTTTCTCATTTCCTTTTTGCTGTGTGTGTGTGGTTTATGGACACGTTCTTGCGGGTGTGTGAACATGTGGGTGTGCATTTGCAAGAGCACGCACAAATGTAAATGTGGAGGACAGAGGTTGATGTCCTTCTCTGTCACTCTCCACTTTTTTTAAAAAAACAAGGCAGAATCTCACTATGTAGCCTTGGCTGGTTTGGTACTCTCTATGTAGACCAGGCTAGCCTTGAACACACAGAGATCTGCTTAAGTGCTGGGATTAAAGGTATGGGGTCACCGTGCCCAGCATCTTCACCTCATTTTTTGAGCTAGGGTCTCTCACTGAAACTGGGGTTCACCGATTAGGCTATCCTGGCTGTCCAGCAAGCTATAATGATCCTCCGCACTGGGGTTACAGAAACATACTGCCATGCCTGGCTTTTACATGTCAGGGCTCCAAACTCAGGCCCTCATAATTGCTCCACAGGCACTTTAACAACTGTCCCATCTCCCCAGCTCCTTTAGTTTCTTTGAAACAGGGTCTCACTGTGTAATCCTGTCTAATATGAATCTCACCACACAGACCACACTGACCTCAAACTAGAGATGATCCTCCAGCCTCTGCCTCCTAAGTGCTGGGATTATACGTGTGCTCCACCACACCTGGAATAACTCCAGATCTTAACTCCTTCAAAGGCAAATTGCAGTAAGGCAAGCTTCACTGGGAAGAGGAAAAGAGGGAGCAGGTCCCTGGGGCTCCTTGTACTGCAATGGGGCAGGAGCTTCGGGGGGTGGGTGCCTGGGCAGGCAGGTGGAGTATGGCGTCCAAGGAGGAGATAGCCTGCCCCTCAGTCAAGCGTTTCATTTTAGAGTCATCGGAGGCAAGCCAAAAGGTACAAGTAGGGCAAGACGGGTACAGGATGGGTGTTGGGGCATTTCTGGTTCAGGTTTGGCACAGGACAAAAAATACACATGGTGAATCTGCTGAGAACAAGGCTGGAGAGATGGCTCAGCGGTTAAGATCACTTACCATTCATGCAGAGGACCCAGGTTCAGCTCCTAGCACCCACATGGCAGCTAACAGCCATTTCTAGCTCCAGTTCCAGGGGCTCTGATGCCCTCTTCTGGCTTCCCTCTGGCACTAGGCATGCACATGACATACACACAGAGAAGCAGGCAAACACTCATATGCATAAAATTAAAAAAATTAACTTTTTTGATTGAGTTATTTTTATTTTATGCACATGAGTGTTTTGCCTGCATACGTGTAAGTATAACACATGCATGCAGTGCCTATGGAGGCCTGAAGAGGGTGTCAGAGTCCCTGGAACTGAGTTACAGATGGTTGTTAGCTGCCATGTGGGTGCTAGGAGCTGAACCTGGGTCCTCTGCAAGAGCAGCCAGTACTCTTAACTGCTCCCCCAATGTTTTTTTAAAAGATAAGTTCCCGGGGCTGGAGAGATGGCTCAGTGGTTAAGAGCGCTGACTGTTCTTGCAGAGGACCCGGTTTCGATTCCCAGCACCCACATGGTGGCTATGAACCATCCTTAACTCAAGTTCCAGGGAATCTGAAGCCTTCTTCTGACCTCTGCGGCATCGCATGACACAGGTGCACTCACATACATTCAGGCAATACACTCATACACATAAAATAAAAATAATAAATAAAATATTAAAACAAAACAAGTTCCCTGAGACGACTGGCCAGTTACCCTGGACAGATGTTTTGGCTCAGACACACCAAACCTGTGTCCCACAGAAAAAGTCAAGTACGTTATAGGGGTGACAGAATGTTGTGTCACATTAGGACCGACCCAGAGTCCCTTAATCCCAAGGACAGTACTCAGGATGGGGTTCCACCAGTCTACAGATGGGGTCACAGCTGCAGATACATGAGGAACCCTCATTGGAGAGCCACAAGGGCTGGGAGCATCCTGAGGATGACAGAGAGTGAGCACATTTGGGCTGGGGGGTGGGCAGAGATGGACACAGATTACTCAGTGAGGGTTTGATATAGTCTGAGACAGTAGGGTGTGGGCTGGAGCAGGCAGAGGAGAAGAAATACAGAGGGCCATGTGTGGGAGCTGATGGCAGAGGGGAAATGGGCATATTCACAGCCAAGCAGGGATACGGTCAGTGAAGAGCTCTTCCCTAACCTACAGAAGGAGGGAAGGAAAGGCCCCAGCCTGGCTTCCTCCCTCTCCTGGCTTCACCTCCCTAATTCTTCAGAGCTCAACAAGCCATTGAAGCTGTCCGGCAGTGGCTCTGCGCTCATTAAATGTTTGTTCTGATTCAGTTCCTGGCTCAGGAGAGGAGGAGGAAGTGGAGGAAGAGGAACAGGTCCATAAAACGGGAAGTCTGCCTGAGGAGCCTTCCTTGGACCCTGAAGGTAGTGCCAGCCCTTGGGAGTTCAGCCGGTATGAGAACAGGTACTGACAAGATTGGGGGTGGGAGGCCAGGAGCACAGGGTGGTGAAGACGTGACTTATTTTGAGCTGTAAACTAAATCAAATGAAGGGCTGGAGAGGCAACTCAGTGGTTTGGTTCCCAGCACTCCTGTTGGGAGGCTCACAATTGCCTATAACTCCAGCTCCAGGGCATCTGAGGCCCTCTTCTGGTCTCTGCATGCACTCTCTCTCTCTCTCTCTCTCTCTCTCTCTCTCTCTCTCTCCCTCTCTCCTCTCTCTCTCACACACACACACACACACACACACACGCACACACATAAATAAATAAAAATTAATTAATTAATTAATTAATTAATGAGAAAAGAACTGGGGCTGGAGAGATCACTCAGTGGTTAAGAGCACTGGCTGCTCTTGCAGAGGACCTGGGTTTGATTTCCAGCACCCACATGTCAGCTAACAACTGAAGTTCCAAGGGATCTGATGCCCTCTTCTGACCTCCACAGGCATTGCAGGACACAGGTGCACTTACATACATGCAGGCAATACACTCATATACATAAAACAAAAATAATAAAATATTTTTAAAAAGAAAAGACCTTAAACCAAATGGGGATACATTTAAAATTCCTTTCATTGCTGAGGAACTTCTGATCAGCAGACAGATGGATCTTAATCCAATTCAGTCATGGTTCCTTCACCTTCACCTTGGTGAATCCCCAACAAAGGCTATGAAAACATATCTCCCATCTCCTGCTCCTGGGTCTCTGCCCTTCTCACTCCATTTCATCTCCTCCCATTTATGGCTTCCCGAGAAAGCAGCTCTTTCTCTCTCTGCTCCAGGGCTACAGCTCCTCAAGGCTCAAGGCTAAACCCGCCCATCCCTTTCTTCCCTCAGTGTCCCTTTGATCTGGGGTGCTGTGTTCCTGCTGGGCCTACTGGTGGCCGCTGTGGTGATGTTTGCTGTCATGGCCAGGAGGAAAGGTAGAGAGCTGCCCATCCACCTATCCCAGGGGATGGACTGGCCTAGTATCAACCAGTTTTATAGATGCGGCCAGGAGTCTAGGTGTATTCCCCACACAAAGGAACTTGTTTGGGCTTTATTCAATCAGCTATATGCTAGCTAGGATTTGGATGAGGGACAAAGAGAATAGGAAA